TGTGATTGGTCAATTCTTACGACTCACGACTTTACGACTCGCATTGTAGACCTAGCATAAAACTTTGTTATGTGCAATAGCCTTAACACGGCTCTGTGATTGGTTCATAATATCTTGAGATCGTACTTAAGACGGTCTTAAATATAAGAACCGACTATGAATACCGGCCATACAATAGGGACAATGGCCGGTATTCATTCGTATGTATATGGCCGGAAATGAACGTCTTTTTAAAGAATCTCTAAATCTCTATATGAAGTCGTTTGTATTTCGTATGAAGACTTTTGAAGTGCAATTGATAAGGTTTGTGAGTCATTCGTTTAATTGTAATTAATTATTTATTTTTTACCATGCATTTAGCCGAAATAGATAAATTAATAAAAGTTTTTATATGGAATTGTTTGTATTTTGTATGAAGAGTTATGAAGTGTGATTAAAAAGGTTTGTGAGTCACCCAGATAATTTTAATTAAATATTTGTAAACTCGGTAATTAGCCGAAATATAGATTTTTAGTTATTCATGTTAAAAGAAGAAGGCGCTGGTGTTCCCGAAGGTCCGTCGGTCCGTTTGCAGTTAGAATTAAGCGGGAAGCACACACTTCTGCACAACGCATAATACGTAAGCATAAGAAAACTGATTGGTCTATTTTCTTATGCACATGTGTATGGACCAATATCGGTGCTTTAATATAAACGTTTTAAAAATTATTTTATACTGAAATAAATAAATATACAGGCTATAAGCCTGTAGCTATAAGCGATAGTTGCTAATTAAGTTTGTCACTCATATATATTTCCATCTTGCAGAGGACCTCCGTAACGATCAATGGCCTAGTTTACACCGATCACTTGATACGCGTATTAAATTGTAAATAACTAGTAAATAAGTCTGATTATTGGCTGATCAGTTCAAATATACTATTTGATACGCGTATCAAGAGATCGGTGTAAACTAGGCCAATGTTCCAAGATAGCTGTTCAAGTCCGACGCGGCGCACAGTTTATTAAATCGGAATATATGTATACATTACAATTCGTTATTTCTTTATACGTAAGTATAGAATATATGAACACCAACATCTTTGTTACGGCTTCACGCTTCATCTTTATCTTTGATTGATTTCTAATCTTATATATGAGCTTTTTACTATTATATTGATTATTTTTAATTTTTCCAAGTGTATTTTGTTTGTAAATTGTTTGTGATTGATTGCGAGTCAGTTCTTAACGTTTGTAAGTATAAAAGCGATATACATTTATATTGCTTTCTCTTTCTCTCTTATATCTCTTTCTCTTTCTGTTTTCGTGCTTTTGCCGAAAATGCAAACCAATAAGTTGCAGACCCGTGTCGCGATTCTTATTATGTCCGTATCACACTAGCGATTGGCGATTGCGTTTACGTTTGCGTCTACGTCTTTTGACCAATCAGAACGGAAATCGCGAATCGCAATCGCCAGCAGCTACTTTTTGATTGGTCTAGAGACGTAAATGCAAACGTAGACGCAATCGCCAATCGGTAGTGTGATACGGGCATTAGAAGGACTCTACTATCCGCATCCGCTACTCTAGCATCCGCCTAGCAGCAGCGCCGTAAACGGCGTAAACACAACGGCGGAAAGCGACGGACAAGCGCGAGCACAGCGCCTCCGCCTCCGCCATCAGCGCGACCGCCATCGCAAGGTGCGCTGATCTGTTTCATCGCGACTAGCCACGAAGAAATGCCCGTAGGTTCGAGATCAATCAGTCCGGGTTCTTGTGCCACGGGCATGGAGGTATTACTGCCGTCGAGCCAGTAACGCGAGCGTACGACACCACGAAGCCAGTCCTGCACGCGCCGCCCCGTTGTCGCGCGAGAGCGAGCATCGCATCACCACCGCTCACGTCGGGTCAGCTGCTGCTGCTGTTGCTGGTGCTGCTGCACCGCGCTGCCTACCCTACGCTAGGTTGTTGGTGTGTGTATTTAGTCGCCTCGCCGCCGCCGCCGTGATCGTAACCGCGATCGTGATACTTCCATCGGGGTACGCCGCGCGGGCTTGTGTACGATGGAGCTACGTGTTGGTAACAAGTACCGGCTAGGACGGAAAATCGGGAGCGGCTCCTTTGGCGACATTTACCTAGGTAAGTCCTCCCCTTCCTTCCCCCTTCCCCGTCTCTGCCGTTCATCAGCCGTATGCCCGTGCGAGTTTTCCTCGTCGAGCTCGATGCCGTCCGCCCCTCTCCCTTCATTCCCTCCCCACCCTCTGATCCCGTCCTCTCGTCCGTACACAGTGAATCTCGTATATTCCGCGCAGGAGAGCGTGAAACCGCGTGCCAACTCGTAAATTATTTCCACTTTCTTTTCTTTCTCCTCTCATCCCGTTATTTTCGTCTCTTCCCTTCCTTCGCTCTCGTCTTCTTTGTCTTCTTTCTTACTTTATATCGCGTGGATTTGTGTGCGTAAACGAGCTCTCTGGATCTATTCTTTATTCGCAGGTACCAATATTTCTACAGGCGAAGAAGTCGCTATCAAATTAGAATGCATAAAAACGCGACATCCACAGCTGCACATAGAGTCCAAGTTTTACAAGATGATGCAAGGAGGCGGTAAGTAAATCAATATTTCTATGCATATCAACTGAATGTTTATTCAATATACTGGGAGCTGTGTATTCGGAGCGTTCTCGTTTGTTTGACAGCTGATCCAATATCTTTTCTTTCACACCAATATGACACGCGGCTGTGTATCTCATATCTATGTACTTGTTTGCGTGCCTCTTCCTAACATTAGCATATCGAAATAAACAAATTTAGCAATTTAATGACAATAGGGAGTTTTTGCAATACTGTTTTTCAGATACGGTAACAGTATCTCAATTGTTCAGATACATAGGGAGCTTCCCAGCAAGCGACACAAGTCGACACAAGCATTGTTCTATCTTTCTTTTTTGGTAATGAGTAACAAAGATAAAACGATACTTGTGTCGACTTGTGTCGCTTGCTTGAAAGCTCCCATAGTGAATGTATCTGAACAATTCAGATACGGTTACGGTATCTGAAAGACGATATTGCAAAAACTCTCCATTGAGAAAAACATTTGCTTAATTGTTCTAACAATTAGTTGATTGATTAATTGATGAAAATTGACAATAACTTCTTAAAGAAAAAGACTACGAAGAAATATCCTTTATTCTAATTTGAAATGTGTAATTATTAAGCCTTACAACGTGCATTACGCATTATCATAGTAATCTTATTCTTGATATTTTAGTTGGAATACCAACCATAAAATGGTGTGGTTCAGAAGGTGACTATAACGTGATGGTGATGGAATTACTTGGACCATCACTGGAAGACTTATTTAATTTTTGTTCAAGGCGTTTTTCTCTGAAAACGGTCCTGCTCCTTGCCGATCAATTGGTAAACAAATATTCCTTCTATTATAAAAATTTATCTTATCTAGATGTTATATATAAATAACAAATTAATGATTATTTTGTTAATCAAAATAAAATATGTTAATGTTAGAACTATATACCATGTTTCTACGATTTTTACTTCTTTCAAATCTCTATTATTACGTGATTAATTTAAGGAGGTTCTACAGGTACTCTCTAGTCAGTTGAGAGATGAAGAGAAAATCTTCAAATTCGTCGATT